GGTCGCCATGTCTGGTGGGTAGGGGAGAAATACGTGTTAAAGTGGCGCTTGGACAACCGCGACAACCTGGACGCAAGTGTGTGTGTCCGAGTGGAAGTCGGCCGAGTTGCTGCAGGTCAGGGCGTCTGAAAGCGCTGCCTGAGGTATTGGATGAACTTGAGGCAGCTGGCCTTGAACAAGGACATTGGACAAAGCAAGGTTGGACATCGGCTACACTGGTTTCAGTATTTCCACTCGACCAATCCTATTACATCCGTGGTGTGTCACAACAAGACAGTGCCAACCCCTGTTTAAATGCAAGTGAAATGTGAGGCTAGATTGCAGTGAACACAATCCTCGGCTCTCATAAATTTTCTCAGTCCAATGCCTATACTTTACGACATTGTTTAAATCTTCAGCTGCCGAACACGGTCAAACAGAGTGCCTGGTTTGGCTTCTGGATTCCGGTGCCAATGTATGTCTTCAAGATGGCAAATCGCAGACTGCGATTGACGTGGCAAGATGCCATAAGCAGATCAATGCGCTCCGCATACTTCGTAAGCAGGCTGCTGACGAGGGTCTACTGGGCACGCAGACTGGGAAAATGGCCCCTGCGACACCATTGGAATCCAGACGGGAATGCAGCGGAGAAGAGCTTACCGACGATGACCTCCTGCCAATTGATTTCCCATTTGGAGACACTGAGGCAGTGGGTGTCTGCGTGAGTGCCGAACGGAAGCAGGCTGCACGAGGTAATTCGCTGAATATTATTTGAACTGAAAGATTGGGAACTTATTACTAGGTTGGTTAGGGTTTGTCTTCAACCCAAAATAGACGTATGTCCCAGGTTTTAGCGTCTTCTAAAGCATAGTAAGCGGAAAAGCCTATTTAAGCGGACCATGGATTTCACTGGATCTCCAAACTACAGTTTGATTTACTTTCTGGCTGAACTGCTGTGTAGTACTTTGAGAACCAGAGACACGCAAAACTCCAAGTAGAGCCTCTTGTCATTGCCCTCGAAAGCTATATTCTAACTCCCCAGATCCCCAAATTGCAGTTTGAGCTCTTTTCTGGCTGAACTGATGCGCAGTTCTTTGAGAACCAGAGATAGTTACAACTCCAAGCAGACCCTTTTGTCATTGCACTGGAAAGATATATTCTTAGTATTCCGGCAAAGACAGGGCACCGTAGTATAGCTATTTCTGGCTTTTTGTCCGTCGTCAGCTACGGGTAGCCAACCCTAATGTAGCTGCTGAAATTGCTGCTACACCCGAGTTTCGAACTCGCATCTCGCCGGTCAGGAGCAGGCCAGTCCAGACACACACACACACACGCACTGAAAACTCGTTAACTGGATGAAAGTTCGTCGATCGAAGGAAATTTCTGCGGGTAGATTGCTCATTACCTGAAATATTCATAGTTGAGGCTGCTCGTCACCCAAAGTTCCACTGTAATTGTGAATAATCCGTGTAAGGTACGAATTCATTTGTATCTTATTATTCAAGCCGAGCACAGCTGCGACTGACTGGTCGTCAAATTTGACGTGAGCAATAGGACTAGGTCCTTCATAATATCATCATCTATATTGAGAAGTAGAAGACAACTCGTTCGCTGGGACAATATGTTTATTCGCCTGACGTTTCGTAATCCGTTGCATATTCTTGGAGTATGTCTCTGAAGATGAATCCGCGACGGATTTCGAAACGTCAGGCAAATAAACATATTGTCCTAGCAATCGAGTCGTCTTTTACTTTTCAATTACTTCCTGGGGCTCGCCTTTTCGCTTGTATTAGCAGCCACCTATACTGTTTTATTTTTGGATTTATTAACCGTGCATTCAGAGACTGACACCTGTTTTGTCTGTTAAAGGTGGATTCTTTTACTTTTAAGTACGTTAAAAGAAAAAAATGCGAAGGGACTGCCTATTTACTGCCAAGATGATAAATCAAGTCCTCAAAATTACCAATTCTGGACCGCAACTGTGTTTTCTGTTTATGAACATTTGCTACTCTCGTAAACTGCATCGTATACGCTTGGCTTTGTGCTGATATTCACATGAATAGCATACTGCCTTAACCTATTACTTGCCTATTCTGCTCTGATACTACTAAAACTGCATTGGTTTTTTTCCTTGGAGCCTTTCATTGTGGAATCAATCATTTAAACTTATATCGCTAATTAGTTGTTCCTTAGAAGATACTATGCATATATGAAACGACACTATACCTTCCTTGAATCCCTCTGACAGATCTAGCTCTTCGCCGGATCGATCTGCTTTTGCGATACTTGGAACTCGCAAAGCTCGATTTCAAGCAGTTGGGCGGATCAGAGGCTCAATTAGAAAAGCGCCACATACCGACAGAGGAGAGCGGAGAACTGTAAGTACCCGCCTTTTGACCTGAAGACCAGTCTTCATATCTCTAGAGCTTGAAAAACTGAATTTTTCCTGCCTTTCAGTTGTGCCTTTTCAGTTGTGTCACGCAGTATGTTTCAGAAATTAGCATGGAGAAAGGTTTATCCTGGAGTCAAAAAAGAAGCGGCGTTCACCGAAAGAGATTTGACGTTTCGAGCAGTGATTTCGGTTTCTCATCCTGAGGGATCATGGAGTTTTGCACACAGCTGTAATTTAGTTCACCCAACTGTGAAAAAACTCGCAGCTTCGGCGGGAGTCGAACCCACATAGCGGGGAAGGTCTTTACACAGCCAACGCTCTACCACTTGAGCTACGACGCCACGCCGTGCGCCGTGAATT